GGGCTATAATAAGGCATCGCCTGTTCAATCGCAAGCGTCGATGCTCCAAGGAGTTAATCGTTCGTACATAGATCTCCTGTAAACGCAAGAAGGGCCCTGTTTCATTTAGCTTTTATACGCCGATGTTTTCACCTAGTATTTATTTCGTCTGTTATTTCCGAACCAGTTACAGTACAGCTTTTGTAAGAACTAAATCCTCATGCTTCAGAGCCTCTTTTAACCTCCATATCTTCAAAGCAAATAATATGCCTTATCAATTATATAGGTAACAGCCAGGGCATAAACAATGTTAAATGCACGGCAGTCCATTTTGAGCCTTATTAGGACATCCACTCCATGTAAGTTAGCAGTAATAAAAAAAAATCTCTTAGCTGAATATAGTTGATTGATTGATGCCTATTCCATTGTGTGACAGGTAATATTCCATTATGACAGGTAAATAGCCATTATGTGACTCTGACATCGATATTTTTGACAGAAAATTCACTATAGCTTTGTCTTGAATTTTTTTAATTTGATTCAATCTGAAATGAAATTTCTTAGAAAATTAACATTAATCTGTGCGATAAAACAGGTTTCGTTGTCGTACTACTTCTTAAATGGCTAAACTATGCTTATGGCTTTCCGAGACGTTACGAAAACCTTGTATATCGATGAATTTTATAATAAAAATAATTTCTATAAGTTTCTAAGATCTATCTATTTATACAAAACTCCATTAAGCCCCTACATGCGGAATCACGATTTCGCTCGATTTCTTATCTGTTGTTTTATATCATCTAATCTTTGTTTTACCGAAATTTTGTACTAAAGTTCATAATTATTAAATCAGCCATACGAAAAATTATTTGAAAAGTATAAACAGGATTACCAATCATGTCGTCGATAACGGATATTTTTTGTTAATTTTTGCAATGAAATTCACGCAATCTGTAGCTGATCAGTCGTAATGATTTTTAATTTCCCGATTCACTTGATCTTTTCTCTTGCTCGATATCTGAATTAACTGGAATCCGCTAGACATTTTTTCTAACCCTTGTAGTCTCATAAAAGGTCTCCATGCTCAGGATAACTTCAATGCATCGGGTCAGATGCCTGTTAGACTTTACCTTAAGAATGCTCTCAGCCATCAAAAACATCGTGACTTGGAACTAGCAAGCTCAATATAGAAGTTGATGTCTCTGACATCTCTATGTATGTAACAAAAATCTTAAATTCAGTATGTCATGTCAGCAAAATTTTCTCATTTTTATACTGTATAACGACATCTACATCAGTCTGAAGCGTTAACAACATCAGTTTCTTTTTTTTTTTAAATAAAGGCTAACGCTCTGCATGGCTTATTCAGACTAGACGGAACTGGAACTGCGAACCCTGTACCCATCAAGACCGTGCGTTTGCCCAAGTCTCACCTTCTCTTCCGGATCCGGATTTTTGTTAACAAAACGGGTCGATGAGGGTGATGGTGAGTGTCATCTACCGGAGTACCTTGCTAGGGGCCTCTTCTGCGTTTTTTTCCACCAGACGCGTTATGTTTTATAACCTGCTAACCCGGGCGTATGGCGTTTTGTGTGCGTCCTTCGTGCCGAACCTTGCTCTTTTCAGCCTTCTTAGGCGTCCTTTCTCGTTTAGGTTCTTCACTGACATGGTTGAGCCTCCCAGTTGCCTTCGGAGCCGAATTTGAAATCCGCATGAATTGATCCGTACCGCCTGTTGGCAAATCTAGACCACCCATTGAGTCTTGGTCATGAGTTTTTTTTTCATTGCCACCTGTCTTTTTGCTGCTTTTCAGAGGAAAAGCACATCAATAAGATGTGTGTTTCATCGTCATCTACACCCAGGTTGTATCTTTAACGAAACGTCATTGATTTTGAAGAAGTAGACTCGAAAGCTTTGGAGTCGATTTATCAAATTCACTGTTTGTTTGTCCTAGTTGTGGCCGTCATTATTAGACATGCCCTGAGTCCTATCCTTCAGTGATTTATCAAGATTTAACCCCAGGTATCTTGTTCCGTTTACCATCTTTATTTGTCTGCCACTCAGGCTCACATTAACTCAGTTTACTTTTCCTTATTTCCAGTAGCTAGAATCTCTCCTCTCTTCTCTAAGGCCAGTTCAAGGCCTGAATTTAGCATTCATTTCGAAACAACGCGTAAAGTTTTCTTAGCGTATAATTCCGTCTATAGTACAGACTTGACCTGAGTAGTGATGGCCAAATTGTCTGCATAGTGTCTGCGTCTTTCGGGGCAGAAGCGCAAGAGCGAAGAGACAACCACAACATCCGTTCAGTATATTCTCCTTCGCAGCAGTCTGCAACGATATCTTTAACGCGTGTGATAAGATTTCTAATGAACTGGGCTACCGTCACCGACGAGGTTCACTATTTCTAATGCATTTGACAGTAAATAGCATCGGTCTTGTGAAGCAACGTGTTTGCATTACTTCGCAGAGTTCGACAGCTCTGTTGCCCATCGTAGTTGAAGTATGCAACGTCGCATGTTTGGCAAACATTCGTCAACCCACAGGTCTTTGTTGGAGCCAATATCTTTTGTAGAGCCCAGCCGTTTGTGGCCGATGCAAGGTAGCTGGCATTTATGTTCTGCTGAATGCCAACCACCTTGTACCTGAACGTCTTCCATCGCTTTCCTTGGCCTTTGGTTCGGCCCGAACGGTGTAGTCGATTGTCTCCTCTAAGGCCAAGCAGTTAAAGGACTCGATACCTGGAACACCGATTCTTAATATGACAGTCATGCGATATGAATTTAAGTCGAACGTTATGTTGAAGTGCGGAAACGGCAGGGCTTCACGCACCTGTCACTGAATAAGCTTTGGCTATTCGTATTACTTCAGTTTGTGCAAAGAAACACAGGTCAATTCAACGAAACTGAACTAAAAAGTGTTTTTTAGTAATATTTATTTATGTTCAGAATCTCGATTGTGTTGACGCTGATGTCAAATTAGCAAGAACCAGAGTCGATTAAGCACCAGTCTTTTCTTTGGATCTGACTCCAGCCGATTTCTATTTTAATCAATGCAATACGTCATAGGTGAGACACACCCTCTGGAAGCTGAACAAATCGCCAAAGGGATTACTGAGCAAAAAACAGACGGAAGATGAATCGTTTTTTCATAGCGGTTGTCAACTTCTATGTGAGAAATAGTAGAAAACTTATCAGTTCATAAAAAGTATTTTTGACTATATACTTTTTAGCAATTGCGCAATATATGATGAAAATACTATACCAACACTATGAAATCAATAGCTGTGGAAAGGAAATCCAGGTTGACCAAGAATACCATACGGAGAAAACAACACGGCAGTATATTGGCACTTTTCATAACTCTTTATTATGCGCTTGTGTTACATGGGTGAGCTCCATCGATACGCTGCTGCGTTTCGCCGCCCAGCGTACCAGTGATTCTCAGCAATACGGGTCAACGTTCGAACTATCCGTCATATGGGCTTCTTTGAACTTGACGATCTTAGATACGCGTACGTTGCTAAACCAAACGAGATTAAGCGTCGTTTTAAGGGGTAGGGGTCCTTTTGTGGCCGTCAGAAATGGGAACATCGGGATATTTGATGTTTTTAGAGATGCGGGCTTCGAGACTCTTGTTCTCTCGAATGCCACGGGCGATAACCTCATTGGCTGCCTGAACTGTTCGGGAGATCGCTTGCAGTGCTTCCTCGGTTTGTCGGGCAATAGCCTTCTGGGCATCGGTTATATTGGAGTGCTCAAGCGATCGGGGTTCAGCTTGACGTTGATAATAAAGGGATGACGTCAGTGTGGCTAAACCTAACACAAACATAGCAATGAAAAACTTCATGGTAACGAGTTGGGCAAAATTTGCGACACTGACCGAGTCCTGGGATGACAGGAGTGAATTTCTAGTGCCAGCACGCTCCTATTTATATCTACAAATGCCTATATATTTATCACGACATTTGTGTAGAAGGCAGATGCACTTTCGATATATTAGTCAACATACAGCGTGTTCAGAAAATCTTGCAATATTGTTCGTGCAAAGAAAAGAGAAGCAATATAGACGATGTTTTGTTTTTGTTGCTAAGGGTCATCACTTTACTTTGTAAGGGTGTTATCCCACTCTATAGTGCTTCAAGGGGTTGTAGTGCACGCGATACACGCAGGCTCTACGGGGAGCTTTGACCGAATGCTACATCCTACAAAGCTTGTTTTTTCTTCTTTGTTGAACATCGTTTTATAAAAAGCATATTTACACAGATAAACTAACTATCTTATTGACATAAATTACGCAGTATTTAAACAGGTGCCTTTTTCAGGTAGAGAGGACCGAAAGCTACACGAGGATCATATACAAGGGAACGGCATGACTGTGTTTTGATTTTTAAAAAGATTTTAAATTTTAAAGATTTTAAAAGATTTTTTAAAAAGATTTTAAAAAGATAAAAGCTCCGTTTTATCGTATAGATTTACGTTGTATTTCAAGAAATCTGAATCTAGTGTTGAATGCTTAAGCCAAATGATATGTTTTCCTATAGGAAGTTAGACTCTCAGTGTGCTTCTGTTCTAGGCTTCTAACGCTAGCGATTATTAAAACAGACCTCAACAAATACTAGGTTATGCAGTAGGATAGCTTCTGTATTAAAAAGTCAGCCCGTAGTCATCCCGTCAGCAAACTAGCTAAACCTAGATTACAGTCAAGCGGTTTCATCGGCTTGTGAACCTACTGTGTACCGTTGATATACAGATGGGCCACTCTTACGGCATATTAAAGTGACGAAGATTTACGCGTTTACAGAAAACTTTACTAAGCAGCTATTATGTAGAATCACGTTTTTTGCTCCATGACTTGTTGATTGCTCGGCGTCTCTCATTCTACCTTACCGTGAATTCGTGTCAAAGTCGTTATTCAAGCGGTATTATTCTCCTGTATAATATAGACATTATCGAAAATAACTGTGACCAATATTACACACGAAAAATGTTCATTCTATCATTACTAAGATACGCGTTCAATTAAGATGAACGTCTACTCCACTGTAGGCTACGGAAATTTTGAAGAGAACGATCTTGAACTCTGAAGCTTTCCGAACACGTTGGGTGCTGATCAGGCGCGGAAAATGCAGTCGTATCAAAAGCAGGACAAATCGTTGTTGGATTTACGCGAGTAAATGAAAATACGTTCAAGATCAACAGCTGAAATTAGCTTGTCGTAAGTGGCCCCCGTTATTAAGCTATTTACGTTGTTCAGGTAATGTCATATTTTTTCAAATTGCCCCTATTGAACTGTTTAATATAAGAACACTTATTAATCCTTAGTGGCGGATTAGAGCAGTTCGGGAGAACTTCTCTATTCTCGCTAGGTAGGGTTCTCTAAAGATGTTTTTAACGAGACGATCGGGTGCTTGTCACTCCTGGTGTTCTCCTGTAGGATCTTTATTTAAATTAAATAAGGTGAAAATAGCTTAGATGACTGTTGGTATCCCTTTGCGGAATCAATTAGTCCAAATGTATCGGACATATGTGTCCATTTCCATGAATAGTCACCTGATGGAGACAATTGCAGCCGGCACCTATTCGATGAGTGGAGAAAAGCTCTTAAAATCGCACACATGACTTTCCCGATCTTTTGAAGAGAACTCCTCAGATCTGCGGGGCTTTTTTACCTTGTTTATTTTTATTCATACAAAAAGTTTCCAGCTTTTTTCCCTTCGCTTGCAGCCATCTAAACGTATCAAGTTTGGCATGAACTATTACTATCCGCTGGGCATCTTTTAAGTCAAAAAAAGGCCGTCAGTTGACTGTAGGAGTTCCACATGTCTAGAAGAAGCCTACAAAGGTTTGCATAAGTGTTTTTTCTTTTAAATCTATGTTACTTTGCAACTAAAAAAACCCTATCGTCGATAAAAAGGGGCTTCCGAACGCATTCGTTTGCCACTGGCCTTTCAAGTAGACTCGCGAGGAACATAGTCTTGTATCCAAATGTTTTGTTATCCTCGTTCCCATTGTACACTATCCGTAGATAAGTAGTTAAGTCGTGCATAAGATATGTACAAATTAGACGAAAAAAGAATCAGTCACAGTGTGACTAACTCTTATGTGATTGACGCTTTTAAAAGAACTGTTTTAGCACGAACTTCGGTTTCGCGACATACATTGAAATCGTACGTATTATCGTAGCAGGAAATCGTTCGTCACTTATCGGTATTTTACAGCTTACGAAGCTTATTAAACTTATATTATAACTTACTCGGTTTTATTTATTCATGTTGGTGCAAAATATCGTAATATAACTTACAGTTAACGGACAAAGAATTATCGTATTCCTAACGGATTATCGGAGTTGAAGGCCGGGAAAATTATCTCGAGAACACGCTATTGCCCTTACACAAACAAAAACTAATGCCAATAACATATTTGACAACTGGGAAAACTGTTTATGTAATACTTAAACGATATGTATATGTATATATATATATATATATATATATATATACATATATATTCGACAAATTTAACAACAATACTTGTGACTGTACTCCTCAGAGCAACGACTTCAGCGAGAGTTGCTGAAGTAATGGTTGCAAGAGGAAACAGAATGATTAGCCTTATATATATAATGACAGTTAAGGTTAGATCGTTCTCAATGTACAACAAACGCTTAGATATAAACTACATAAATTTTAGGCTCAGGTGAATATTTTGCAGTAATAATTCTTTGACCCTGACTACTAAATCATACCTTACGCTCAAGGATAACAGATAATAGGTACTGCTTGGCCGCTATAATAAGGGCCCGGTAGAACTCCGCAGTAAATCGAAATCTTAACAAAAAAAAAAAAAAAAAAAAAAAAAAAGGAAAATTCGATGCCATAAAATATAGCGTTCTTTAATGATGTGCCAAAAAGCATATGTACTGATTTTTTAAAAAACAGAACACAAACTTTAAGGTATCGTAAAGAAAAGGGAATATCTTGATGATATTCATGTCAATGTTTTATATGAAGATATTTTACATAGATAGTGCTTACTTCTAAATGAGTTGTTAGACTGATCGTCTTTATAAAGCTATTATAGTATGCAACGTTACAGTAGCAGTATCGTTAGTTACCGACCTAGCGAGACAAATATCAAGAATATGAATCGACGATATTAAGAAACATTGATGTTATCATGTTGACAGGTGCTTTCGATGTAGAACAGAGGTGCCTGCTAAATTTGACCGCTACCTACGATCAGCCTACGAGTTACATTTTTCTCTATTATCAATGGTAAAAACCGAAATGACGTAGAGTTGGGCGCGTTCACCGTAGCAGATTGTTATCTAAGATAGCACACTTGACTATTATATATATACAAATGATATACCTTAACGCTATAAATGCCCAGTTTCCGCCCAGCTCCGATAAAAAAATTCGTAATTACAAATATCCCAGTGACCCGTTCTTTTATATATAGAAATCGTATTTATTGAATTGCCTATATTTTGTCAGTCCCATTTTTCCTTTATCTTACGACATGATGCCCCGCAAGCTCATGGTAGTAACAATATTTCGTGATAATGTGTCCGATACAGTATATCTCAGCTCGTATACATGTATGTAATTACTATATTTGTAACTCGTGAAGAACTATCTGACAAAGGTGAGTTTTTCTTGAGAAAAAGAAGCACTCTTTGATTTTTTCCCACGACAACAACATTTGATGCCGGCCCGTTATTAATGAAATGTACATCCTGCTTTTGGCCTTTACCGACTTTTAACTGCTTAGTACTCAATGGTTCCTTATACCTGTCATCCAGTGCCACTAAAATAAAATAGCACATAAGTTGTTAGTTAATCGTGTTAGTTCCTTAGTATTTTCCTTCCGCTTTCCTTCGTCGTAGCTTCTAGTGTCGTTGTTTCGCTGACGTCACTTGCATTCACTGTTGTTGCAACCGCTTCTCTATCGGTAGATGTCGTCGCTCTGGTAGTTGGACAGCCGGTCAGCGAGCTGTTCTATGGCTGACGTAGCCTGCCTAGCACAGTCCATGGTGGCAAAGGAATAGAAGCTATTCATTCGTCAGAGGAGGAAGCATGAAGCACAAGAAAGCACATTCTTGGGACACAAGAATAAGCGCGCATGAAGGATCAGAGAGGGTGTCTCCGATTTGGTAAATATTTTATCAGTTTTCACCTCCTTCCTGACCACAGCCGCAAATGCCCTATGTTCGAACAAGGGGCATGTTGGGAAGGAGGCACGGTGCCCCATCTACCTACGGAAGCGCTGGCTTTGCTGGGAGTCTCCCTGCTGAGGTGCACTACGAGATAGCCGGATTAGGCAAAGGCAGACTCATCTTTACCAGTGGCTGTCTCGGCTCGCTTATAAAAGTTCTATAGTGTACTAGACGGCTATTACGTTTCAGCATACCTAACCTAATGTTTGACCTTTTTCACCTTGACGTCTTACCTGCGTGTCGTGCTTGTGCGAATGCAATATGTACACACATGATTTAACGCAGCGCGTCTCCTCGTTGCCTTAGCGGAAAAAGAAATAAAAATAGCATGCAAAATATTCCTGTTTTAGATATCCTAGACTGTGCTATCGACGCATCGATATAGACGCACAGATTGAACACTGATCCGGCTCGCTAATACCTGTTTCCTATCGAGCCGCGCTGTAATATACGCGCCCTTTAAAACTCAAACTTACCATATAAACAAGCAAAATCTGAATGCGAGCATTAGCTCACACAGCGCGATTTTTACACAAAAAAATTCGAATTATTCTCAGTTCATCTCGATACCTTAGCTTAAAGGCATATTCTATGAGAAACCATCTTGTAAGCCATGGTCACCTCCTATCATTACTATAATCACTTCCTGGCAGCTTGTCCATGCCATGCGCGGGTGTAACTCCAACGAACAGCAGGCACCGCTATTCCCGCCATTGTGGAAACACTACCAGTATACTGTGCGCTAAAAACGCTCGTAACGACGACGGGATTCGATACTTTCGTTTCTTATATTTCCTTTCTTGTCGGCACTAGCTAGCCACCCTTTCCGTGTTTATATGGATCGGTAGGCTCAAGGAAGCCTTAACCGCGTATACAGCCTACGTATATATTGATGTTGCATGAGCGGACGAGGTGTAGGAGACGGAGCGGGCGCGAGCCGGTGACGAAAGAGGCTCTGACACATCACGTCACGGGGTAAAGCTGCAACGGCAAACTGGCAGACCGGTAACTCAGCCAACTTTATTAAAAGTTGGAATAAGAATAGTTCGACCTAAACTTGTTTCTCGGCAGCTGTCGGGTGGGGGTGCGTCGTCAAGCAGTATCTGGTCAATCGAATCTTCAAGCCTGTGCCACTGTGTATTTCCCTATGGAAGGTAAGGAATCTTTCTATTTATGTACAGTGGAGAGTCATTCTAATAATGCCGGACACTTTTAGCAGTATATTGACCTTGATATAGATATATGTAGCGAAGTAGTACTATATTTGGTGGGGAAAAGAGGGATCTAACTCAGTGTAACTTACTTTTAACTTTTGTTCTGTTCAGTTATAGTGATTCCGTAAGAGTGCGCTTGCTAACGTACATGGGTCACAAAATTCAGACTTGAGTCTTGGTGTAGACGCACTTCATTCTGTGCTGGTGGCCCTAGCCGTCCCAAAAATGCTTGAGTTATTTATCATTTCCTCTAATCTAATGTTACGATGTGTTCGAAGACCAAATTCCGGTTGCAACTTATGCATAATGGAAATCTATTAATCAATACTATTAAGGATAAGTGTGTGTATATGTATATTTAGCCTCTGTGTTTCGAGTTTTATATCCGGTATCGTCTGCTAGGCATTCCATTAAGTATGTTAAGCCTAACATGGCTCAAATTAGCCGCGATCGTTCACAAGGGACGTATCAACCTTTGCGTACAATAGAGATATATATAACGTATAAAACTCAGCCTAAAAATTACTGCGTACGGTTATCGATGAGAGGTGATTCATCGAAATGCTGGATCAGATGCGCCGTCTGTCTGGATGAGAGTCTTTAAATACGAAATTTTGTGCCTGCTAATGTTCGCCTTAGAATATCAATCTTAAGTCGGTCTGGCGCTTAATCTTGTTACCATTAATCCAGCCATTTATAAGTTCTCATTGCAGCCCGACTACGACGAGAAGGTACATATTTATTGCTACTGCTATTAAACGCTCTAATGCTTGCCCGTGGACTTGTAAATACTAGCTTCGGCTTTTTTGCGTAGCAGCTTTCACAGTTCCTTTCAATTCCTATTTCTCTAACTCCAACCCGGGTTATTTTCTAATTGACATTAAACAATGCACAAGAATCTAAATTCGGCAAATTACCCTAAACACAAAAAGTAGTGCTGAAGGCGCTCGAGCTAAACTGAAGCAACTTGACAATCAGAAAAGCAACCATGTGCAATTTTCTCCTTTGCCCCTTTTTTCAGGACATAACTGCTCATTTCCTAACTAGCCATGAGGTGTTTGTAACTTATTCCAAGATCTCTGGCGAATGAAGGAAAAAGCATTCAACTAACCAAAGGTACATGTATTGAAATATTGTCTCTCTTCAATCTCTCTCTTCAAACAAACCTATAATCGTAACACGTGTTTACAAGAGCTGCTTGCTGTGACGCTAGAAGCCTATGATAAGACTACTTCCAGCCCTGCAAACGATACGTTTTTTGATAAAGCAAGTTAAAATATTAATAAATCGCGTTGAGTAAATTCTACTTCATCTAAAATACACCTTTAACGTGCCGTTCCGCATACTGTCCATTGACCAATAATACTATTCAAACTATTCAAACTAACTACTATATATACTATAAAAAGCAGCACTAACAGATACCTAGAGATGACTAGTGCGTTGTTGGCGCTATCCTATTTCATATTTATCATTTTCCAGTGACCTAAATGGTCATTCTCCCCCCCCGTCCCGTCGGCGTTTTCGTTGCCCTTCCTTCCTTTCTAACGAAACGCGAACTTGCGAGTGTCGTTAGTTCACCGGCAGCGCGGACGTACTGCCGCAGCAGAAGCAGTGAAGTTAAACGTATCGTTAAAAACGAGTGAAAGACAGATTCAGAGAGTGTAAGTAAGAGAAACAGCAATTTAGGGCAAGCAATAATTAGCGACATTGGATATAAAAACCGCTTCCTGTTCGCCATTTCCATCGTCTCCAGTGCGTGACGCTTCAACATCCTCCCGTTCTATTCCTGCGATACATTAGGCATGGTGTCACAGTAAAAAGCAGCAGAAGAAAAAAAAACAAGAGAAATAAGGGACGCAACTATTGCGTCCAAACCAGATGCTGCACGGTCATACCACCAGCTCGAACCGATTCTGAGTTGTCCTGGCAGATTGACACCTTTCGCCAGCCATCAGCAACTGAAACCCACCGCCTGTAAAATATTGTAACAGAACAAGGAAATACACTTTCGGCTTGAGCTTTCAGTGCCGCCGCTGGCTGAGGAGGGCATTTTAAATCCGGTTTAAAACTCGAGTTTTGTGCAGCGACTGTGGTAAGTACACATATATAGTGTAACGATAGAACAAGCAAGGGCAGACGGTAACGGAAGACAGAAAATACAATAAGAAAGAAAGCGTTAAGAATGGAGAACGAGAAGGAGGAATGGGGAAAAAGAAAAATGGCTGGTTAAGGGGCAATAGCGACTCCTAGGGGGAGCTTGTATCAGGTAAAGCGACTGCTTGTGCTTTGTATAAGCGGCATTATAAACGTAGCGAGATGGACGATAAGAAAGAAGACTTAAACCGCTGTCCGATGTCCAGTCAGTCATCTAAAAAACGTTGAGTGGTACTTTTATGCCAGGATGCGACGGTGCGGCAGTATCAGTGGACAAGTGAATCGGTCCCAGAAAAATAGAAGAGGACTGCAGGCCGAGCAGGTCAGACTGAGGGGTTCGGGTGTGGAACGTCTAGGGGGAGATTTCCAACCCCTCGAGCGAACCGGATTCAAATATAGCGGTCCATTGTTCGTTGCTGTCAATGCTACAACAGAGGCTTGAAAGCATTTATCAAAATTTGCTAATTTCGGCTAATTCGACAGCACTGCTTGTGTCCTTAGTATGGTTGGATCGCGGGTGGACGGTCAGCTGCTAACACAACCTTATATGGATTTTCGTATGGAATAGAGGAATAGATTTTTTTTTGTTACCTTTATTTTTATTAGAGACCCAACCTAGCCTAAACCTTAGCTAAATACCAGTTACCTCACTTTAGCTATTTTATTACCATATAGCACATATGAACAAACTTAGTCGATGGATTATTGAGAGACCAAACTTACAGAAGCTCGCGTACAGATTTCTATGACTGCATTATCTACCCCCTAATCGAAGTATGTCATTGTCTTACTGCAGTTATCGTGTTTTACATACAAGACAACTGATTTTCTGGGCTCACATTGACTTGTATCATCTTTTCAGCCCCATAGTTGCAATCAGGGCGTAGACACGCGTGGCTTCACGGAGACTTTATACAATTAATGAATTATTTGACTTTTAAAGCCAGTTATTTATGCGAAATAAGAATATACAAACGCCACACTGAAGCAACTGGTTTAGCAGCGTGGCATTAACACGGTGACTTCAAAAACAATTACGTCTTTAGAGCAGAACAGAATCACTCTGTGCACATTAACCAACACTGGCACACCACAATAGACAAAAGGTACAGATAAAGATTTCGAAGGATTACGCACTTGACAAAACAATTTGCCTTGGATATGTCAGTCATATACACAATACTATTTGGCCTTGTCTTAGACACCGATTCTTGTCTTATCTATTCGTTCGAATAGGACCGTTTAGCCGGAACAGGCCGCATCAAGTTTACGAATTAACGTAATTATTTTTTACTCCACCTAATCCTCATTGAAATGCAAATCGAACTAGATACGGTGCAGCAAAAGACTGCTTTGCATCTACATCAACCCTAAATGTAATCCTAATTTGCACGAAATAACTCTCCTGAAACTGTCCCAATACTTAAAAATGACGAGCGGTTCGAAAAATAGCCCTAAAAAGATTCTGACGCTTGGCCAAATCAATAACCCCGCATTACTGGCCATTGCGAATCGTCCAGCTTTTACACATGCTGCTTTGCTGTTTGAGCTCATATCCGCCACAACGTTTATGGCCTAGGGTAGAGTGCGTAGGGCGAGTTCTATGATTTTGTGCATAGGACAGTCCAACGCATAGATCCTATAGAGCGAGGCAGACAGAATGGAGATCAGTGCATGGTCGACAGTCACCGCGCTACTCAGTCAGGCCTTAGGTGGGCAAGGGCTGAGGCGGGAGTAGTAGGAGTCTATAGTATTCCCCTTCCTTCTCTGTTAGCGGTCCACGGTGAATCGCGGCACCGCTTGCCGCATGAAATGGGAGGCCTAGACTGGCTGCTGCTGTTGGACGGTGCTTCCACTGCATTCGTTGCCACTCCACGAGAGTTCGCTGCTAAGCTACCGCGGGAGGAAAGGCACCCGCCTCGGCGAAAGTTTGCTTGCCTACCCACTTCATCCGGGCGCCCCTTTGAAGAAGACGAAGCAAGCAGCGATCAGCGGCAGTAGTAGTAGTAGTAGAAACTGAGGTAGGTCTCTGGCGGCGCGACCACAACCGTCGATAGACCATGTACGATATATTTACGTACTCTGCTCTTGAGGATAAGAAAAGTGCGGAAAGTACGGGTAATACCAAAAAGCTTTTTTTTTCAGTTCGAATAGCGCTTCTTCTGCCTATCGCCTTTTCTTTTTCCGCCAGTTCCGACGAAGAAAGAGGTTTTTTCGTTCGAGGCTCTTTCTTGTGGCTGAGGCCTGAACAACAAAGCGAGCGTGTGGCCAAGACTGGTCAATAGGGTTTCGCCAAGACTCGCCTGACCTTACAACCCTTGTGTACGAACAAGCCAATTCAGTGGTAGAAGCGAAATCATGAAATAGTCT